GTGTGTGTGTGTGTGTGTGTGTGTGTGTGTGTGTGTGTGTGTGTGTGCTCTTGCAGCTGCAGCTTTACAACTTTCGTTACAGTAGATTCAAAGCATGCGGACAGAACAGGTGTCCTTACCTCTTCGTGATATGACACGTACATACACGCACCGATGAAACGTCATTGTGTTATTCTAAATTACAGGGTTAGCCATGAGTTGTATCGGTCTAACTCTGTGGAAAAAATAAAAAATAAATAGTTTGACAAACTTTGTGAGATCTTTTATTTCGGAGACAATCTCAGGTCGGGTGGCCCGTTCCACAAAAGCCGCCTGTGAGCGCTGCTTACACACAGATTGCAAATGGCAGCAGTTGTCATGTTTCTCTCCCAAGTTGCTGGTAAATTTGAGAGTCTTCCAGCGTTCTGCCATGCTCATGGTGTTTGTTTTGGTGAGTGAAACATGTCAAAATCCCATTGCAAACACCAGGATGTTGAAACCTACCCTAGATGCATAGAAAAAAGGCTTCTATAGGATGTATAGCATCTAGAATATCAGAAACATTGAAAGTCAAGTTAGCAAAACAAATCGCTATTCTTAGTCCAAGTTGAGATAATTGCTGATTCTTGCGGTCCAAACTAGTAACGGCACTTTCGATCTCATCTGCTTAACCACGCTCTTGTTTGGACCAGTGTGTAATCAGTACAGCATGTTTTAGAAGAACTGTTTCATTTGAAAAGGCCTGAGTTGTTATCTGTGAATGTTGTTTCTGCTGTTTATTCAGCTGCGTTGTGTTTCAAGTTCAAATAGCAGATGAATCTCTAGATAAAATAATAGACAAGAGTCTTCGTTTTCATTGAGATTTAGTGAGATAGGATCACTGCCTGTTCTCCCAGGGTAATCTTACCGGCAATGGGTCCGGTCTAATATTAAAGTCGAATAGAGTTGACGTCAAAGGTTTGATCAGATTTGAAGGAGAAATATGTGCTTGTTGTACTTCAGCTGTTCACTAATCTCCTCTCTGCTCTGCTCAATTGTCCCCAAAGTATTTCTCAACTAATTTCCCATTTCCCTCCTCAACCCATTTCTCTCCATCCTGACAACCCTCTATTTCCCATCCCAATACTCTGTCTCTCCCATTTACTGCCATTTCCTCCATATCCCTCCTGCCTCCCTTCCGCCTCTTTATCTCTCTCCATCCTGCTTACGCAACTCATCCTTTCTTTGCTTCCTCCTCATCCCACCTCCCCTCTCCTTTTTCCTTTCCCTCTTGTCCTGTTTCCTTTTCCGTCATCGCCATCCCATGACCGTTTGCACCGCACTGACCTCCTCCCTCTGTCTCTCCCCCCCGGCTCCAGACCCATTACTTCGGGCTGTGGTTCCAAGGAAAGACCCAGGCCCCGGCCCATCGCTGGGTGGAGCTGGAGAAACCCCTCAAGAAGCAGCTGGACAAGTTTGGCAATGAGCCACTGCTCTTCTTCGGAGTGATGTTCTACGTGCCCAGTGTTTCCCGGCTGGAGCAAGAAGCCACCAGGTAAATGGTCTCCAAACACCACTTGCAGTTTGTAAATGTCAGACACTAACATACTCTAGTCTTCTTTGTGTGAGACTGAGTGAAAATGCAGTTGATTCCGAGACGAGACCTTCAAAAAGTGGTCCTTGAGACCAAGTTTCGGCACCAAGACCGATGTCGAGTACTACAACACTGCTGCTCACATCTCTGATTTGTCCAGTAGTGTGTCCACTCATGGCTGTTTCAAGGCGACCGATCACATTTTAGCAGGTGGGATTACGAATGGGGCTGTATTAGCGAGCCAGCTAGTTACGTTAATGAAAAATAGAGACAGAAAAATGGCGACAGGCGTGAGATTGGAGATACGATTGACGAATCGTTTCAGTCTGATCATCAGCCGGTGTGTGTGTGTGTGTGTGTGTGCGTGTGTGTGTGCGTGCGTGTGCGTGTGCGCGTGTGCGTGCGAATGAGCACGTTCGCTAGCTGTGAAAAGGGCATCCAGCGGTCAGTGTGTAGTGGACAGTCTGCCATCTCAGATTCCTTCTCACACTCACACACTCACGCACACACCCCGTAGGTCTGCTTCGCACTGAGCTGGTGAATTTGCGGCTTCTGCTTTGCTGGATGTGGGAAAGGTCGATTGCAGGTCACAGCTTAATGTTTTGACGCTAGATTTAGTTTTAAGGTGTGTGTGTGTGGGGGTGTGTGTGGGGGTGTGTGTGTGTGTGTGTGTGTGTGTGTGTTAACCATTTACGCTGCTGAATTTCGTTGCTTTGTTGAGAGGCGGGACTGGACATGCTGTTTCTGTGTTTACACAGAAAATAATGAAATCATCGTGAATCAGAGACCGGCCCGATACTCTGACACTCACTGCGTGTATGATATGAGAGAGTGAGAGTGTGTGTGTGTGTGTGTGTGTGTGTGTGTGTGTGTGTGTGTGTGTGTCCGCAGGTTTGTTATACAGAAGTCAGGGTCTTCTCTGGTAAAGGGATGGTATTCCAGGAAACCCCTGCAGGCTGTTTTGGTGTGTGTGCATGGGGGTTATGGGGTTGAAGGGGTTATGATGGGGCCTTAGGGGCAATTTAGGGAACAATGGTCGCCTCTTTTCTCAAGCCCCCTCTCTTTCTCTTACAATCCCTCTACATAGTGTCACTCCTGCTCCTTTATCAAGAGCAGATCTCCATATCACTCCGGTCCCACATTTTTTCTCTCTTTTCGCTTCGTCCCTTCGTCCTCCTTTTTTCTTTCCCTCTTTCTCTTTTTTTTGTTTGCCAGGAATGTTGGCACAGCCGTCCAGCGTAGGAGGCGGACCACACATTCCTCCCAGCAGAAGTGCTGGGGGTAAAGGGGGCTGGGGTGTGTGTGGGGGGGGGGATGTCTGGTTTATAAAATACACACACACACACACACACACGCGCATACGCATACACTCACCTCACACACCTCACACACTCCCCCCCAAGAATCCTCTCAGAAGCCAGCTGCAGCCCTGTCAGAAGAGTTAGTCACAATACACCACATTGTAAGAACATGCACGCTCCCGGAGGCAAGCTGTTCACAAAGACCCATCCCCTTTTTCTTCACATCAAGTTGAAAACAATCTTCACAACTTCTTTTGATGAAGTTCAAAACACACTTTTTATCACCCGGGGCTTGAAAACATCTTTAAAAAGCATCTTTTGCTCTTATATGTTCTTTCCTTTCCTTTCGAGGACTCCATCAATGCGTGGGAATGATAACGGTTACAACTGATGGCCCTCTTTTTTAAAATATAGATCATTTATTGAGTTGAGGTTGATTTGGGTCAGATCCAGTGAAGCAGGTCTTTGTTTTTCCTTACACACCTGGTCTGGGGAAGGGGGGGAAGGGAAGGATTCAGGGAAAGAATGACAGAGGCAAAAAGGGAGACAAGTGGGGTGAGAGAAAGTAAAAGTTTGGCAGCAACACTTGGCTTTGGGTTAGTACCTTGCCATTGATGTGGTTTAAGCTCGCTGCACGTACTGCATGTTTCTGCTGTAACTTACACATATTTATGTGTCTGCATAGAAAAGTATGTTTGTGCTCGTGAACTCAGACAGCGTAGGAGTGAGTGGATTTGGTTTATGGGGGACGCCAGTGCTTTGATTTACTGTTTCACAAAACCCTTTTTTTAAAGAAAGTTACTTTTAAAATTAAAACGCTATATCAAACTATCAAATGTTTGTTACCAACTGATATGTAGGTCTTTGGTTTAAAATGCCTCTTCTGTTCATTTTAACAGCAGTAAAAGTTAGAAAAGAAGACGGGTTACTTAGTTTTTACAAACGAATTAATCTTAACTTCTTGCCAGAAACCAGAAAGACAGAGTGTTGACTCAGCCTCCCCCTGAGTAAATGAGATTTACTGAGAAAGTAATGTGAGTTTTATTATGTGGTCAGGTCTTTGAAGTTCAGTGTTTGACTGATACGTAACCTGATACTAGATCTCCCTCTCTTCCTGTCCATCCATTCATCTGTTTCTCTTTCCCTCTCTTCGTCTCTTCATGCAGCTGTGAAAATTACACAAAGTAGGGGGCTACAGTGTGTGTCTGTGTGTGGGGGGGTGCGCTACATATTTACACCAATACTCCAGTTATCAGGCTGTTATGTCACCAAGCAATATTGTGTTTTTGTAAAAACGTAGAGTTTTTACCATGTTTTGCAACACACATTGTAATCCAATTTAGTCTGAGAAAGTTTCTGCATGTTGTGTCGATTCCTTTCATTTTGATATAATTGGCATTGGCCTGTGCTCACGAGACAGATTACTTATCTTTATAGTATTTCACCGAGCCAACAACAGGGGAAAGCCACTGCACTAAACGAATTGTTAATTTAGTTTTTAAGTTTACACATTTTCGTTGTCTCTCAGAAACAAGGGGACGCTGCTATCTGCGGATAAATGCTGCTGGTAAGTGCACTAAAACTCTATTTATTTATTTATTTGTTTCTTTTTTTTTTTTTTTTTTTTTACAAAGTTTAGTTTTTTGAAGTTGAACACCGGAGGATGACCTCTGACTTTGTAACAGAATCTGTAGGGTGCATTTCTAGCCAGAATAATCCATGTAAACATATAAATCAAAGTAATGCCTTACTCGCATTACTGGTCACAACCTACTGGACTGTATGTGTGTATGTCTATGTGTGTGGGTGTATGTGTGGGTGTGTGTGTGTGTGTGTGTGTGGGTGTATCATCCAGAGTAGGTTGCACCGTGTTTGACCCCCAAACTGCTTTGTGTACTAATCCCGGACTACCTCCCATATACTACTCACTTGTAAGTAGATATCCTGTACCACCTCCTTTTATTTTTCTTTGTGAAAACAACCTCTTTGGATGTCATCTGTTTTACCACACACACACATCGTGCGGAATCGTGCAGGTTTGTGTGTGTTTGAAACCTTCTGCTCCTTCTGTCTCCCTGATATGAAGGAGGGTTAAAGAGGCCCAGTGAGAGAAAGTGAGGAACCTAAACAGAGAGCTGTTGACCGGAGCGAGGCCAGCTGGCCTCAGCAGCCCCCAAGGCTAGCAGCACCAACAGCCTTGAAATCCTAGCATTGTTCAGCTAGTTATCACTAACACACACACACACACACACACACACACACACACACACACACACACACACACACACACACACACACACAGCTGTACTCTGTTGTGCCCCTTGCTGATTCAACACATTTCAAAGTGAAATCCTCCTGCCTCCCACACAAGCTGTCTGGACCCATCCAGGGTTGAGGGGGTGGTCAGGGTCATCCCACTGCAGAGGTGGTGGAGGAGGGGTTGAAGCATATGTACACACACATTCATGCATGCATGCACATATGCTTGCAGGCTTGTTGTCCGGGCCACTTGGACATCTGGCAGCATGTCTTGAGGCGGGCTTGAACATGCGTGGGCATATAAAGGGCCCTTTGTGCCTGTGTGGCTGCCTGGAGTGCCAGCAGAGCACTCTGCCATGGTGGAAGTCACAAGTAACTCTTAGTGAGGAAAGCTCTACTGCGTGCGTGTGTGCGTGTGTGCGTGCGTGCGTGCGTGCGTGCGTGTGTGCGTGTGTGTTCACCTGTTATTACAGCATAGTGATGTCAGTCTGACATATGTGCCAGGTGTGTGTGTCATCGTTAGGGCGTCTTTGTGGACATGTATGTGCAGGTTTACAAGTGATGGCCTTTGTGGCCAGAACATGATTAAGTTGTTAATTATCTTGTTATTTTATTAGCTTTTAACAACTCTTCAAAGGATGGATTCACCCGAATTACATGAACACATGTTCTCTCACTTATCTCTGTTGGTTTCTAGCCATGTAGACAGTTTTGGGTTTATTAGCCCCAGTTTTTTAGATATGTGTTTCAGCACTGAAAAATGACTCAACTATTTCAAGCTGAACTAGCAGTAAAGAAATAGTCCCGTAAAAGCTTTCGACGTTGTGTTCTGTAGATCATACAGATTCCAGATGATTCTGGTAAGATAAGTTTTAGCGTAGATTATAACGGCAAAGACGTTCAACAAGTAAATCCTGTTGGAAAATAGTGGCTGTAACTTTACAGGCTTATCTTATGATCATTGTCTGCAAAGTATTAACACATTTGAGGACCGGATTATCTTTATTTTTGTATAATATTGAGACTTTGACTTAAATCGAGTGATTTCTCTCCAAATGGATGTATATCTTCCTGTAATTGAAGCCTTCAATATGCAGCATGTGGACTTTATATGTGGATCATTTCAAACACAAACATTTTTCAGATGCCTTTCAATGTTGTTTTAAGCCTCATGCATCACTCAAGGCTTTACTTTGAACTTGCATTGAACTTAAATGTCTGCTGATGCAGGTTTATTATCAGGACCAGCATGGTGGATCGTCTAACGATCTAATGAACTCATTGCAGTTAAATATCTCTAAACTGACAGTTGCTACAACAACTAAGGAAGTGAGCAAATGTTCAACCAATCAGCCAACACCTCTGTAAGTTTTAGTTGGTATACTATAATTAAACAGGACAAACATATCACAAGTGAGCCAATATGGGAAAGGAAAAACTATGGACAAAATAATCGTTGTTTCCTTCATAGTTCTCAAGGTAAATCTAATTATTTGTCCCGCCAGTAAACCAGAGTTCTTGCATTATTATACTTTGTATCACCAGATAAATGACAAAATAACAGAATCAAGAGCTGGAGAAAAGGCTTCCGGTAATATATGTGTTAAAGCTTTTGAAACATACATAGAAAAAAGAGAGTGCTCTCCAAGACTATGCAACCTTTGAGACTGCCAATCAAAAGCTTGTTGTTGAACTCATTACCAACTAATTAGAGTTTTCTTTGGTACTGTGATACTTAAGTACTATCTTGTCTGATAACATATCCTCCTGTAGATTTTTGGCCTAGTTGTGCTGCTATACAGAAAATTGTGTGATTTTCTTGTAAATTACAGAACAATTTTACCCTTTTCGGGCCTCTGTAAGGTATTCAATGAAACCAAGTGAGAAGGAAAAATGACCCTTTGCTTGAACAGGTCACAACCTGTAGACCAATGCAGCTTATGTTCACAAGTAGACAAAGTTGTTTTAAGGGTCAAAAGCCTGTCACGCTTTCACTTGTTCATAGTTATTACAACCAGTTTACCGTCCACCTCTCCACTGCTGTCCTCACACGCGCATATATATATATATATATATATATATATATATATATATATATACCATCATGTTGTTATCATTGAACCTCAGAATGAGAACCAACCGCTGTCGACCTCAACATCTCCCCGGACCTCGTATGGAGAGCGCTGGGAAAACATGGAGAGTTTGTAAAAAACAAAGTCCACAATCATTCGAAGGGTTTTGTGTTCCTGCGAGGCTCCTCCACCTCTCCATACCGCATCAGGCTCCTCCCACCGCTGCAGCCGCGGAGGTTGGGGTTGGCTAATTAGGGGGTTGCCACGGGAACGGAATGGCAGCTTAGCCAACGGGTGTAATGACAGGGTGAGGGAGGAGGGCGGGGTCAGATTATAGGCCTGGGAGTATGCTGAGTGGAGCTCAAAAAAGACAAGAAGAAGAAGAAGTAGTGGTGGAGGGAATGTGAAGAAGAATATGAACATGAGAGATGTAAAGAACATGGAGGAGGGCATGAAGCTCTGAAAGTACGAGTTCAGAGGGAGCTAAACTGTGGGGGATTGGTGAGAGCTACTTTTACAACTGACATGACAGAGGAAAGAAAACTTGTTGAGGAATTACCTCAAAAGTATGTGTATGACCGAGTGAATGACTAAGCACGTATAGCTCCCGCATAGAAGTCTGTGTACTCTGGCATGGACTGTCTAATGCACTCACAGCTCTCTCTGACCGTGTGTGTGTGTGCGTACATCAGAAAAGGTGTCTCACAGCCCACATTGGAAAGACTCACCATGGCAACAAACAGGAAACGGTGTGCGAGTTTTTACGCCGCTGAGCCCGGTCACCCTGACAATTCTCTCTTTCCTCCTGTGTGGCCACAGTCCATTCTCCAAAAGACAAACATCCAGTTGGACTGCGGCTAAACGTGGACAAAAGGAGCTCAGAAACTGAAGGAGCTCAGTGTATTTCAGCCTCTGGGGTTTTTGGGACTTTTTTACCACATTATGTGAACGATGCAAGTGGACTCAACGATCTGAAGTGTGTCATCATATCGGCTTACACTTGGCAAAACCACCACTGCCCAAAACCGCAGAGTCCCCAGTTTGCTTCACATTTGCAATTATAATACTGCTCTTTTGTCCAGCTTGTGTCGGTCCTACCTAAGATAAAAGTCCTTATTAGTGCCAGCTCCATGTCACTTGACAAAAATATACAGACCTATAAAACGGTTTTGTTTAGCCCCTACTGGTATACATTTGGCTTTCCTCTCAAGTCATAAATGACTCACTGGTATTTCAAATAGAGGTGATTCACTCATTCCTCACATGGATTCTGCAACAGGCTTCTCTGGCATTGTTTTAAACGGCTAACGCTGTTGCCAATACTGTCTTGACGCATACTTTCTGTTGCACAAACCAGAAACAGAAGAGTACGTCTCTGTGGTGTCTCTTTGGATGTTTGCAATCCTTCTGTTACTAATGTGCAACGCCTTGAGCACAACTCTTCTTGCTTTCTTTGTGTTGAACTGAAACCCATCATGTTTTCCAACTCGATTTTGTATAAGTGGTGTTCAGAGACAGTGTGGCTAGCTGGAAAAATAACATGAACCACCACCAACCAAATTCTGGTGAGTTCCTGAAAGCTAATAAGAGTGCCTGTGCTACCACCCAGCTCGTTAGATGTTTTGTACAGTTTAGCTGGTAGAACGGCTCTGTGGTATGAAGTGTCAGCAAGAGTACGAGTCTTCAGTCTTGGTACCAACTCCGTAATGCTGTACTTAGTCACCGCTAAAGGCTAACATCAGCATGCTAATCTTTCTGTCTTTCTTTCTTTCTTTCTTTCTTTGCTCTCAAGGTATCAGTATTACCTGCAGGTGAAGAAGGAGGTGTTGGATGGACGTCTCCACTGCACAGTAGAGCAGGGGATCAGACTAGCTGGCCTAGCAGTGCAAGGTAAGACCCCCCCCCCCCACACACACACACCCCCCCCCACACACACACACACACACATATGCATGAACAAACATCTCATGTGAATTATCTACCAGAGGGAGACAGGCGGCACAAGAGAGAAAGAGTGAGCACAAACTCACACTTTCTCAGGTCATCTCGACTTCACTACCTAATATGGCTGCATACCACTGGGAGAGCCCAGTCCACTTGAGTTCCTTTGGTATCAGTCTTAACACACACACACACACACACCCTCACTCCATCTCCTCCGTCTTGTTCCTGGGTGCTGTCTGTGTCTCGGGGGGAATGTAAACAGACAGTTTGCTTATCGCTAGTTCCAAGGTTAGCCTTAGTAGTATGAGGAAGACGCTTATCTGTCGGGAGGCGAGGATCCTCCGCTACACCTCCTTTTGTCCGACAGACATCAGAACAGTACTTAGGATGTACTTAAAGGCCCCATCTGGAGGCCTGACAATGTTATGGAAGTGTTGTGCAGGTGGGAGATCAGTGGTGTACTAATTAGTTTGCTAGTTAAGCTACTTTTATGTTATTCTGAATAAAAGACTATTAGCCAAAGTTAAAATATACCGAAATGTGCCCCCCCATAATGTGGTAGCAAATTGCTTCTCTTGAAATGTTAATTAATTCTCTAAAAACTTGAAAATAAGCCTTTAGCCACAATAAAATAATTTTTTTTAATCTGTTTAGCAATTTAACATTCATCAATATACTCTGTATCAAAATATAATAACTTTATCATTTATTGGAAATTGTAATTATCCTAACATGTTATCTTCATGAGTTAATATCTTTGGCACACGCATTCCTTTAGGAATGTTTACAATTTCACCATATCTTTTGCAGATAATAATTTTTAGATGAAGGCAAACAAAAACATATGCAATGTTCATACAATCTGGAGTGTGAATGTTACCCTGCAGACGATACATTTCAGCTAATGTGATTTAGAAAAATATGATGGTCATACACATTCAAATAGACTTTCCCCCTAAAAGATAATAAAATGTATGCGTTTGTATTTTCTAGCTGACTTTGGAGACTTCACTCATTTCATGTCGCAGGACTTCCTCCGGGAGTATGTGCTCTTCCCAGTGGTGAGTCCTCAAACCTTCACTGTTCAAAAGTGTGTGTCTTTGTGTGTTGCCTGTGTGTGTTTGTGTGCGTCTTTGTGTGTACAATTCTTGTGTCACCTGGGTACCTCTTCCCTCTGCATAGCTGATTGACATGCAGGGAAAAGAGAGAGATAAAGATCCAGTGGATACCAAATGTATTACATCAATGGAACACTATATTACTCAGTGACATTGGCAGCTACTTGATGTACATTGCTTCACCACTGTTTTTAGTGAAATAGTTCTTCACTGTGACATCTGTCATAAATCCTTTATCACCTGTTGCTTCTCTTTCCTTTCATATTCACCTCTTCCATCTCTTTCTGATTTGCTGCCTGATGTTTTGCTCACTTCTGTGCTTTCCCTCAGAACTGGCCTAACGGAGACGAGGTGCTGGAAGAGTGGACCCAGAAAGTTGCTGAGGAGCACAAGAGTCACTGGTACACCTTTTATTTATTTTTTTTGTGTGGCTTTTTTGTGCCTTCATGATACAGTCAGATAAACAGGAAAGGGGGGGAGAGAGATGGGATGACATGCAGAAAAGGGCCGCGGGTTGGATTCAAACTGATGCAGTAAGAACTCAGCCTTTGTACATAGAGCGCCAGCTCTACCATGTGAGGGCGCCCAGTCAGCTTCAGGCATGAACATGTAAAAAAGAAGAAAGAAAAAGAGCGAGTAAAAACGGTTCAGAGACGATGAGATACCTAGTACCAGGTACTATATCTGTCTGTACTTTCCAGTCGAATGCAGACCGCTGAGGCAGAGCTGCTGTACATCAAGGAGGTGGAGAAACTGGACGGCTTTGGGCAGGAGAGCTTTCCTGCAAAGGTAGACGAATAACAGAACACCCCCAGCCTCCTACACACACACACACACACACACGCACCAGTTTATTTGAATGTGAGAGGACTTTACTTAATCCTTTTGATATTCACTCTTCTTCTACAGGACAACTACACCAACGATATTTTCATCGGTGTGTCCTTCATCGGGGTGTTTGTCAAACACAGGAATGGCAGATCCATCATGCTCCACAAGTAAGCCCCTCACCCTCCATCGTATTTATCAATTTTTTGTAGCTTGTATGAATTTTCGTCCTATTAGTGATCATGAGGTAGCAGGGCTAATACAAATATATGAATATGTAAGAAAGTATGATGAATTTTGTGGGAAAATTCAATCCTTGTGTGCATTTGTTTGTGTTTCCGTGTGTGTGACAGGTGGAAGGACATCGGCACGATAGCGCACAACAAGTCAGCCATCACAGTGGAGATAACGAGCAGAGATGACACCATCATTTTTCACATGGTGAGTGTTGTGTCTGCGGGTGGTCTCGGTACACACACACACACACGTACGCACGCACACACGCTTTATACAAGGTTTCTAGTTGGAAGTTTAAATTAAAAAAAAACACAAACACATTCCAAGACATCCATGCACAGATACAAATACACTGGCAAATTTGGTCTTGGTTTTCTATAAATACAGTTAGTTAGTTCAAAATATCAATGTTTTTCTCTCTGTGTTTGTATCTGCAGGAGGATATGGAAATGGCCAAGTACATCGCTCGTCTTTTCACGGCCAGACACAAATTCTACAAACAGAACAAGATCTGTGCAGAGTGAGTCTCGAGGCCGCCGGAGAGGCCAGCAGACGGCCAATCAGAACACATATACCACATATATCCTGAATTATCTGCCATTTAACTTTTAAAATAGAGCTCACCAACCTGTCGTAAGTTATGTAAATAAAAAAAACAACTTTTTTGTTTCTCTTTAGGCCCACTCACTCACCTGCACCAATCCGGAGGAGACCCACTTGGACCCACCGCCTATCTCTGGTACCGTCGGCAGCCTTTGCTTGCTTTGTTATGGTTCATTATCACTGGTTATTTCTCAGTGGTTTGACACTGAATGAGACCAGAAGGCAGGGGGCAGAGGGAGAACTTTGGAGGGAAGACAGAAACGGCTGTGGTTAGAGATTTGACCCTGCTCTCCCACTCGGGGCCGTACTTAATTGTGCCATGGAGCCTTGGTTTTAACATGCCTTGGTGGTGTGGTGGGTGTTGTTGGAAAGTTTGCAAGGGTGTTGCTTGGTCTGATTTCCGGTGCGACAATGAAGGCAGTGATTTGTGCGTCTCCCTCCCTGCTGGCCAGACAATGGCTTGGCTAAATGTGGCACAATAGCTGTTCAGTCAGTCCACTCGAGTGCTCAGTTGTCTGTCTGGAGACTCCACAGCCCTAGAGTAGATCTGAGTCGCTGCGCAGCTTGTTACGATATGCACAATTTAATGGAGTATAAAAATGAATTGCTCCTTCTTAATTGCATTGAATGTGTTTCTTCACTCAGCCGCGGCCCCAGTCCTGTAACTTCCAGTCAATGCATTCCCAGTATGGAGAGCATTATCAGGACACACAGAGCTCCCAAGGTACGTGTAAAACGCAGACACACACAGACAAACACATTTAGAGTCATTTCCAGTCCTCCAGCTCACTGCTGTGACTGCAGTGTGATTTAAGATTTTAGCCTCCCTGATGATATCTGGAGCAGTTCACAATGGAGCTAATTGTGTCTTTCCTGTCAGCCGTGTGACTCACAGCCCATTTGTATTTTAACTATCTCCCAGCCAATTAGAGCTCAGCGTTTGTGGTGCAGAGAGCAGTGACCTCATTTTGTGCTTCACTCTTTCATTGACATGTTCACACACTCAGTCGGCGTTATAATCCGAGGAGCTTCACTCATGTCGGCTTGACAGTAAAACCGAGCGAGTGGAAAAACCATTCTGGGTGTGCTGCCTTGCGTGGGTGTGAGATCATTTTGTAGTGTGACCTAAGGCATCACTCTCCGTTTGTGTGGACGGAGATTATGTATGTCTGCCTGCTTGTGGGCTTGAGATAGTTTCACTTGAGAGAATGCTCTATTTGTTTAGTAAAGAGGAATCACATGCATACCACTTTCTCCTTCATTATGGTGGGATGAAAATATTCCAAATCTTTCCTGTTCCAAGTTGTTGGTTAACTAATTGGAGGAAATATTCAGAATTGTTTCAAATGTGGTCGGTACTGCAGTGAACCAGACCCAAACTATGATCATTTTTTGCCACATCAGAAACACCTCGACCGTGCCACAAATACTGTTTACTGCTTATGACTGTAAATCAAAACACTGGAAAACACCAGAACTACTCCAGTACACTCAACTTTAGGTTTTTTAGGAAATTATGATCCACCTTTTTCCTGATGTTATTTGTTTTTTTCTCTTGATTTTCAATTTGTTTTGTTAGATCGAACACTCTCCACTGTGTTAACTGTTACAAAAAACAGCATTTTCATTCCTTCTTCCTCCCTCTGGTTTTTAGACAGTATCTTCCATGACGACCCCTACTACAAGTCAGAGACGAGTCTGGACCGCTGCCCGGTGGACTTTCCCTTTCGTAACGGTACCGTGCCCAATGGAAGCATGTACAGCATCCCCAGCCTGAGCTCGCTCAATCAGTCCCAGACTTTCGTCCCACCCTCTCCCATGTCCTCCAACCTCAGCATCCCCGGTAGCGAGCTCATGCGCCCCGACTACATCCCCAGCCACCGCCACAGCGCCATCATTGCGCCATCCTACCGGCCCACGCCCGAGTATGATGCTGTCATGCGGCAGAAGCGACGCATCCTCCCCGCTCACCATGACCTCCACAGCCAATCGCTGCGCAGTCTGAACATCAGCAATGCTTGTGCTTACCGCCAGCCTGAGGCCCTGGTGTATAGCCAGCCAGAGATGAGGGAGAGGGGCCCTTATCATGGCCTGGGGCCTAGCCCGGGACCTTATGGCAAACAGGTAGAGGTGAATTATCTGTGTTTGATATTGTTAAATGTATTGCTCGTGTCTACATCTCACACTGTTTTACTTTAAATGTTTGCCTTGCAGATCAGCTACAGTAAGCCAGTGTCCCATGGCCCTCATCAGGGAGGACCAGCCAGCAGCCAGGGCCCCTGTCATTCACCCTGCGTTAATGGAGGTGGAGGCGGTGGCGGGGGTGGAGGTGTAGGAAGCTCCATCTCTCACACGGTCAGCACGCCTGAGCTGGCGAATACCAAACAGGGGAACAATGCGGGAAGCTATACAGCTACAGCTAACATGCTGAGAAACCACATGTCGCGCCCTCCTCCGCCTTACCCTTCCAGCTCCTTCCGCCCGGCCACCAGCACGCCAGACCTGGCCAGCCACCGTCACCGCTGCATGGGGGGAAGCAGTCCAGAGCTGGTTACCCGCATGGTGCAGCTGTCGGTCAAGACCTTCCAGCCGGACAGCTCGGCCGTGGTGCACCAGTCCCTTCAGGAGGTTAGTGAACCATTAACTGCAGCTGCTAAGCACCGCTCCACCCTGGGCAAGAGACACAGCATGGAGGTGATCAGCAGCATGAGAGGAGGAGGAGGAGGGATGGAGGGCATTGTGATGAAGAGCATAAATGCTCCCCTTCATCGGAGGAATACTCTCAGAGAACATGTAATGCCCCCTCAGCCTCAGTCCATTCCTCAGCCTCAATCCTCTCAGCCACAACCTCAGCCTCCACCTCAACAGCTCCAAGAGTTGTCCATGCAGATGCCTGCCCAGAAATCACCTAAGTCTTCTGTAACACCACCTGGGCCAGTGGCCTATCAGCATCAAAAGACTCTCTCCAATGCTACCATGCTCATACACAGCAGTGAGAGTGAAGAAGAGGAGGAAGAGGAAGAGGAGAGGCCTGAGCTGGATGTTCAAATCCCAGGTCTCAATGAGGACATCAGCATTAGCGCTCAGCTCCAGGCTGCTCTGGCCAAGCTGCCTAACAAACCCCCTCCAGAGTACCCTGGTCCTCCTAGACCTCCTAGCAATGCTCAAATCCGCAGCCACAGTCACAGCCACACTACCCACCACAACCATAATCAAGGACCACAGAGCAACCAGGGAACAATGGACCCAAACCAAGCCCAGAGCAGAGCGCACAAAGCTGGGCAGAGCCCAGGTGGCGGCGGGCCTGGATGTGGTGGTGGTGCAGGTGCTGGTGGGACACTAACCCGAGGGGACCAGGGTGGGGTGAATGGGGCGGTTTTAGGTCCATCCATTTCAGAACCAGACCTGACAAGTGTGAAGGAGAGGGTGAGGAAGGAGCCGGTCAAAGAGAGGCCGGTGTCGGAGATGTTCTCCTTAGAGGACAGCATAGTGGAGCGGGAGATTGCTCAGAGGGTAAGATAATCCTTCAGTAATTCAATGCCTTGACTTCTTTTATTTTATGCTAGTGCCAACATTTATTTTTAACAATACATGCTATTTATCAGTGCTGAAATGGTAAGTTAATTAATTGATTTGTCAATTGACATAATATGACAACAATGTTCCCCGAAAACCGGCAAACACTGGTGCTTCCAACGTTTCAGATGTGAAGTATTATGGCTTTAGTATATTATTGCAATCTGTATAGAATATCTCTGTGTTTTGGACAAAATTTGAAGATGACAGTTTGGGCTCAGAGAATCTCTGGTGTAAAGTAAAATAATAACAAAATCCATGGAAATATATATCTTTTTTTTTTATTGCAAGACAAGGGACAATACGTACGTACATAAACAGAACAACAAGAGGATGACAAGAACAGTGAATACAGGCCAGCAAACATCATGTAGTCATTGTATGGAAGAACTGTGTGTGTGTGTTTGTGTGTCACAATAACGTAATAAAATTGTCAGAAATAGTGACAAATTGTAATTGAATATTTTCAGTAATATAATATCGTCAGTAATATTATGAGCACATGAAAATAAAAAAATGGGGAAGACCAGAATAAATATAATAATATGCTATGATATAGATGAATATATAATTAAAAGACAGGAACAAAATCAATAATTCATATTTAATATACATCCAATATTATAATTATATATGTATTTATGTGTGTATGTATACATGTATGTGAATATTACACACATGAAAATATTTCTGTGTACAAGCATTAATTGTATCAATCAAAAAAAACACGTCATTGTTTATTAGTGATGTTACGGAAATGGTATGTACCAAAGCTTTAAACACAATGCCAGATCTTGACACATAAAAGTCATTCAACAGAAACTTCAATGCAGCACATCATCCTGTACTAGACAAACAAACACCCTCCATGTTGATACAGTTTTAAATATTTCAGTCTGTTGTTTGCTAGCTAGCTTCATAGCTCCTGATTAGCAGTAATCCGGGGTTCAGCACCTGAGAGGGTAGCACTAGGCTCCGAGTCCCCCCAGGCCGCTAAAACCTTTTATAAATCCCTCAGATTATTCTTTGGGTTGGGTGTTCTTGTTAAGCCACAAACATTTGACACAGCACCAGAGTCAAATCATATAATCGCCTCACTTAGTTGAGAGAAACCTCCCTGTTCAAGAGTTACCTGGTGTGGCCGGCGGTTTTATTGCGCGAGTCAATGAAATTCAAAGTCTGAAACAGTTATCCCTCAGCTGGTTTATCTCATATCTAGAGGACACCCCTGGTGACCCCCAAGCTGTTGTTTTGACTGTCCCACAGGGAAGGAAGGAGGAGGAGCTGACCTGGGGGTTTAGTAGCAGCAGAGATTAGGTGAGGTAATCCTTGGAGGAAGTAGGGACCGGGCAATGTGGGTCAGACTTTGGCTAGCGTGGTCGAGAGGAAAAAAGACACGGTGACAGAGTGTGTTCTTTAAGGAAAAGGGAGGCCAAATAGGTAGGTGGGAATAAAGAGAGCTGAAAAATATGTGAAAGAGGACAAAACAAGGATGAAAGCATCGAAAGAAGGGTGAAGGGTCAAGCTGCAAGTCTACTATTAATAGGCTCTACATTCAGGGCTTTTTATTTCACACCTTTGGACAGAATACAAGTGGATTGGTACGGCCAGGTTTGCCCTACAAACAGGACACACACCCACACACACACACGCTAATATGCATGTTAAATCTCCCCACCCACTTTGAAACACTCACATGTGCGTGCTCACCATTTTCAGGCCAGTGCAGGTCAGTCAGTCTTGCAATGCTGCCGGTACCTGTACCCATGACACCAGGATTTTCCTCTCTCTTGAAGACGCTGGAAAGACAGAAGATGTCTGTGGACTCCATGAAGAGGCCGCTGATGATGGCTGCGCTCAACGGCCTCTACGTGGCCCGAATGCCTGTCTCCGAGAGTCCTGCAGACGAAAGTGCCAAGGCTGCTACTGACGAGCGGGTAAGATGATTGCTCTTACTTTGTAAAATATATGTGCTTGAGTTTCTAAGATTTCACGTGTTTAATTGTGTATCACGAAGAAAATGCCATTTGTTGTTTGCTTTTTCAGTTAGACAATGTGTGCTGTTGATTGATAGATAACTTTAAAAAAAGCAAAGTGTTATGGTTGAAATTATTTCATTTTGTGTTGCTGCTATATTTCAGTAGATTGTACTCCGCCCAAACCTTTTGGGATGCATTATAAGCATTATAATATGAAAAGTTTAATTTTTTTCAAAACAAGCTCACAATTGCTCATAAGGTAATAAACCATTTTTGACTGAAAATATAATCTTACAACTGCTGCTTTTCTGGTTTAAGAATCTCTTCTTCAAAAAACACCCTCCAGGCTTAAATGTAAAACCTATTTTTATGATTAGAGGATTAACATCAGACCTTTTTAACTCGCATTTCTCACCTGTTGACGGTGATAAAGGAAGCTTGGCTGAAGGTTGTCGCTATAAAACTCATAGACAGTCTCTGATAATCGCACTATTTAATGCATTTAGTTTTGCAAATCCTGTCTGTTGGCTCCCTTTTTGAGTGTGGAGGTGTAAAACCCAGCCATTGTCCAGACTGTTGCTAAGCTAAAGGGGGCAAGCCCTAAGTGGGCTGTGGAACGCGTGGCATGGCGGTGCTTATCGCCTCTAGGCCCGTTGGTATGTTAAGAATGTGACCCGACGGAGAGACAGCGAGCCACACAGAAAGTGATTGAAAGAGAGCGAGACAGAGATGCTGCCCTCCTCAAACATGACTGGCCTAATAAACATGTGCCCCCATTAGAATAAATGCCACCACTGTTTTTACAGCTTTGTTGATGCATTACACATGCTTTGAGTTATTTGATGTTGAAGTCAGTATTCAGCTGTGAGTACTGACGAGAGTTTAGAAATGTTGACGTATATATATGTGAATGACTAACACCCCCCCCCCCCCCCCCCCCCCCCCCCCCCCCTCCTTCTCTCTCTTTCCTTTTCTCTCTGTCTGTCCAGTGTAAGACCTTGGAGTTGAAGCTGGAAGAGGAGCGGGTCTTCACGGAGTATGAGCAGGTGCTCAAGAAGAGGGCGGACTGTGTTCTCACCACAGCAACTCTGCCCGAAAACACAGAGCGCAACCGATTCCGTGACGTCGTTCCTTACGAAGAGAATCGGGTCGAGCTTGTGCCAAATAAAGAGAACAACACGGGCTACATCAATGCCTCGCATATCAAGGTGTGCTCGAGGGGTCAAGGGTAAAATGTTAAAAAAAAAAGTGTTAAAAAGGAATTTAAGTGATGATTACAGCACCTACCTTGTAATCCAGACTTTTATCTAATTCATGTGATGCTTTCACTGTTTTAAATCATGAAAGGTAGGGAGGTCTTTTTGTGTGTGCAATATCGTCCAATGTACGCCATACACGACATACTATTTTTGGGGGGATATTCATGACACATAAATCAGAAAAGTTTGTGACACCCCAACCAGAAAAGTGTTAAAAAGAAATGCAAATCAATGTGCGTTTCCATCCACTACTGTCAATAGAAATCTGTTAGTTCTCTCAAATCCTCCAGTCGGATGCCATTCTGCTATTGCAGAAGAAGATAATAATAATGTCATTACACCAGCAGCAGTCAAAACCTCAAAGTGTGGAACAACAATGCAAATGGCATTCATGTTTGTTTCATGAGACCGTTTCCTCATCGCTCCACATGGATGTTATGTTTTCAGCCGGTGCGATTTGTAGTCTCTTCACTGAACGTGTAGGTCATGATTTATTCACCAAGTCTGTTTTCCTTACATTTAGCCTTTATCGATACACCAACTGTTTGTTCCCTCCTCAGCCCAACGTTAAAATTTTCATATGCAAATCTAAAATGTGCATGGAAACACACCCATAGATGGATAAGATCATACAACATTGGATGTGTACATTGTCAACATGACGGCCTGGATTGTATTATCCATCAGTTTGAATTGTGAACCAATGAGGAGGGAGAGAATGATATTGACTGTGAAATATTCTATTATTTAATTTGACTGTTTTACCAAAGTGTTTCAAGTTTATGTGTTTGGCTCAAGTTGATCACAGTTTTACAGTCTCAAAATGCTTTGCAACACCCACATCACACACCATCAAATTAAAACACAGAGCATAAACTCGACACTTTCAGCTCTCTGCTCGTCTTCGTTGTGGTCATTCTTAAGCAGCGAATGGCTCGGAGGAAAAGGATGAAAGGCATCTGTTGAAGGCTGTTTGTGCCTTTAAGCTCACAGAGCTTGTGGAATTCCCAAAGAATGTGGTCCAAACTCCAAACCCTCTTAAGTCAACGTGAGCTGCTCTCACTAGCGTTCTATTCATGCTTAGTTGCAAACAGCATGTGTGCACAAGCTTGTGTGTATGCATGACTTTGCAGTTCACCAAAGCAGCACTGAGTCGCCGCCTATCACGGTGTAACCCTCTTACTTTCCCCGTCATTTAAGGTAGCTGCCACAGAACAAAAGACCTTGTTTATTCCCTATCCATCTCTTAATACAGTGTTTACAGTCATGAGGTGGCCTGAGGAATTAGCTGGGACATGTTCATTGTGTAATGGCACTCCGACATCTATGTGATTTGGAGTTTATTGAAGATGGGAAGGTTTTTCAGTGCTGTGTGTGGCCTTGTGATTGTTAATGAGGGAACGCAAAAGAAAGCCAAAGAAGAAGGGTTTTATACGTGTGAGAAAAGAATCAAACTGTCGATAAAAAATGATGTTTATACTGCCCTCCAGTGGTGGATGAGAATATTGTCTACGTATAAATAAGCGCTTAATATTGAATATATTTAGAAAGTCATTCATTTCTGGCTAATGTGCATTTTTATTTAATTCAAATGTGGTTGTTAGTAAGCAGTTTAGCTCATTTATTCATGTGTAGGTTCATTGTAATCTCCACATGCACTAATTGATTCTTTGTGTGTGTGTGTGTGTGTTTTCCCAGGTGATGATCAGAGGGGAGGAGTGGCACTACATTGCCACCCAGGGCCCGCTAGCCAACACCTGTGCCGACTTCTGGCAGATGGTCTGGGAGCAGGGGGTCAACGTCATCGCCATGGTTACTGCTGAGGAGGTACACACACACACACACACATACATATGGCACACTCAGATGTGGACATTTTTCAGCGTCAGACAGCTGGCATCTGCCTCTGTATGAAAAATAGGATGGCAGTGAGTGTGTGTGTGCCTCTTTATGTTTATGTTTTATATGTTCGAGCTCATCATATATTTTCCCTCATCCCGTCTCTTCCTCTTTTTTTTTTCTATCCTCATCCTCCCATCTTCTCCCTCTCTTCGATCCAGGAGGGTGGCCGATCCAAGAGTCACCGCTACTGGCCCAAACTGGGCTCCAAACACAACTCGGCCACTCATGGCAAGTTTAAGGTGACCACCAAATTCCGCACCGACTCGGGCTGCTACGCCACCACGGGGTTAAAGGTGAAACACCTGCTGTCTGGCCAGGAGAGGACAGTCTGGCACCTGCAGTACACTGACTGGCCTGAGCAGGGCTGTCCCGAATATGTCCAGGGATTCCTCTGTGAGTGTCACCATTATCAGTTTGTGTGAAATTTTAAGACACAACAAAAAGTGATGAAACAATCAGTATACGGTCATTATTTAATGACTGTTTTACGGTTTGTTTCCATCTTCTTTCCTGCAGCCTACCTGGAGGAGATCCAGTCTGTAAGGAGACACACCAACTCCATGCTGGACACCTCGAAGAGCCTCAATCCTCCCGTGGTGGTTCACTGTAGTGCCGGGGTGGGTCGCACCGGAGTGGTCTTCCTCACTGAGCTCATGATCAGCTGCCTGGAGCACAATGAGGTGGGTGGACTTACAGTGTGCAATGAGTTGGAATGGGCAGTCATGTTTAGGATCACAGCTTCTCTTTGACGAGATACATGTATCACAAGTATCACTTTTTGGGGTGAAAAAAATACAAGTCGGTCATTTTGTAAATCAGGAAGTTGCCCATGAAGATGCAGGCTGTGTGACTTACAGTGCCAGTCTGTAGGATTTGGTGGCATCTAGCAGTGAGGTTGCAGATTGCAACCGACAGAAACTTCTCCCGTGTGCCAAGAAGAACTGCGGTGGCAGCCGCAAAAACATGAATAGCCCTACATAGAGCCAGTGTTGGGTTTGTCCTTTTTTGAACTTTGTATTCAGATACAAACGGCTCATTCTAAGGAAACGAAAAAAAACGGTTCTTATTTTCAGGTGATAATACACAAAAGAAAACATACTTCTTAATGTCATATTCCATTTCTGCCACTAGACAAGCCCTAAATCCTACATACCAGCCCTTTAAAAAAAGATTGGACGCAGAGTTACCTAAAAGATACACCGCATGTAGCCTTGTTACTGCACAGAATTAGTTTTACAGTCTCTCTCTTCTTCCCTCTCCTTCAGCCCGTGGAGGTTCCCACCATGTTGTCAGGGCTGAGGCAGCAGAGGATGCTGATGGTGCAGACCATTTCCCAGTACAAGTTTGTCTACCAGGTCCTCATTCAGTTCCTCAAGAACTCCCGCCTCATCTGAGCCCGGGTACGCTGACCGTCGCAGAATGGCACCAGACGACGACAATGGTACTTCAAATTAGCATGAGGACTGTGCAACAGAAGCAGGTAACTGATGGTTGGAAGCAGATGCAGAGATTCACGTTGTTTTCTATGTGGCAGTTTATGGAACTTCTGATGGATTTTCATACAAACTCACCTCAAAGGAGGAAAGGATTTGTGTAGGCCTGTACAAAAATTGACGACCATTTCTCCTAATATTTGTAAGCAGTTATTTTCCCCCCTGGGTTTCATTTTTTGGACGTGGTCCTTCTGTTGGAAAATGCATGTACGTGCATTTTCCTCATACAAGTGTTCATCTGTGTTTCATTTTCATTTGGGATAGATTGCCTGCCTGCTACGTTTCTCAGCAGTATTAATACTATTTTCTACACTCTGAAAGAGTTTGCCAAACAAAAGTATTCTTTAAATCACTGTTCTAAAATGTTGCTTTTATTTCTAACAGAGTATTGATTAATACAGCAAATATTTACTTCAACATTGTAACAAATGTGTTTATTTATTTCTATCATGATTCTGGTCACATTTGCCATTGAACGGAGCATTGACAAGCATGTTGATCCTTGCCCCGTCAACTTTTATCTTTCATTTTTGAACTTGTCTTAATTTTCGGAAAAAAAGCCTTCTTTGTTAACGTCAATAGGGCCGCTCCCAATTTCCTTGATTGATTTCTATTGAGATCCTCCTCCACATGCAAACACACATAAACAAGCACACACAAAGCTCATTTTAATACTGCAGCTCCTTATGATCAAATGTGTCCTTTTCACATTTCTGACCTAAAAGCATTTAAAAAGTGTTTATTCAATTAGCTGGATAATTTATAAATGTATCATTTCACAGCTCGTAGTCATTAGAGAAATGGGTCTTGATACTGTATACACTGAATCATTGTGCCTTATTGAAACATGAAACCAGGAGAAGCTTTTACCTCTAAAGATTAAATCTTTAAATTTAATAGTTTGTGTTTTCTTATAAGAACAACTAAAACATGTCATATAACTTACCTAACTCTCGGTTAAGGATTTGAACAGTAGGAGAATGCTTTTTTTTTTTAAAGAATAGTATAAAAGTGACACAAAAATATGCAGCCTTTAGTATCTGATCCAAGCCCAATACGTTAATCTGTTGCCATGTTCCTTGATCCCATTCATAAAAATTACACTCAAGAATTTCCTTTTACATGTTACCTTAAATATTCTTTTTTTTTTCTCTTTTTTTTCTGAATCGTGATGCAACGCCAGCCATGTCCAAAGTGACTTTGTACATAATGGGCATGTGAAAAAAACAATTTCTACAAATATTTTTTATATAGTTTCTTTTCTTGACTTGGTACCCTAAAAATACCGCAACATAATAAACTATGCATGCATTTTTATATTTTAATGTATATATTCTCAAATAAGTAAAAGCTTTATGCTCTCTTGACATATAAGTGTTTTGTTGCACTTCTGTTCTCTTCGTGACGGTATTTCCTCACACGGCATTCCACTGTTTGTTTATATTTAATTTTTCCCCTTCATTTTCTCTTTTGGCAAAACTCCCAAATAACTTTCAAAGTTTGTGTACATATGTTTTGTATATGCGTTTTCAGTGCATCAAGCCTTTTGTTTTTCTGTCCCCAGACATGTATGAAGCTGTCGTACTTGCTCATTATGCAATAAAGCCTTATTTTCTTTAACACCGTGGCCACAAATTCATTTATTTTGCATTTATTGTAATAATTTCCATTTGTTGGTAATGATGTGCGTATGTTGGAGAGGGTTTCTCTCGCAGTGCTGGAGACATGTATTAGTGCAGAGCACTGTGTTTGCATTAGCACATTGTGTGAGTACCAGCCCTCCATTGTGATTGGGGTACATTCCACAGCTTTAATAGGACCCTTGTGGTGAGGCAGCTGTCCTGATTGGCTGACAGGGATTTTGTTGCCCCCCTACACACATATGTCAACAACTCCACTCTGATGGATGACAGGGTCCAGCTGACGGGTCAGTCACAAGCCACAACAAGCATGAAATCATTAACAATTTGGGATAATCTTATGCTCAACCTCAGTCAACAATTGTGTTCACAATGTCAGATTTTCACATTAAATGCATGCTCGGCACAAACATATCTTGCGTTCAACAAACGAATAACTTCTTGCATACACAACACTGATTAAAGAGTCCAACATCTGAAAATCCCAAATAGATTTTAATGCATTAAACTTTGCATAAAAACACGAATGCTCTCTCTCTTTGCTTCAGTACCAAAAAGAATAGAAAGTGCTTTCAGTTCTGTAAAGCTCCTAATCAAAGGAGTGTTTGCAGTCCCTCGGGGGCCAGCCACGTTACATCAATTCTTTACTTTCTCCTCATTTTTGTGCCATCTCTTTGCGCAACTCTGTCAAGTAGAAGTGATCCTTCCCATGAGCCACCTCCATGATGGCCATTGCCTGTACACACACAAACGAACATAAATTAACAGCATTATACAGCATGCAAGTACAGTATGTACGTGATTTCTAGGTCTGGGTATATCGAACCTCACTCCCTTTTTGGTACCAACTGAAACTGTGTCTCTAGCAATGCGTAATGAAAACTGCCAAGTTGGCATCTAAATGCTCGATAATCGTTACTTGTTCCTTGATAGACAGTTTCCTAATTAAATTTCACACCAAATTTTATTTAGGTGAAGTTATTGAATGGCTGCTTGAGAAGACGGTTTCTTTTGTTAAATTGAAACATTGGTTTTGTCAAAGGTAAGTAAGGTGTTGGAAAAAGTTTTAGTATCTGAACCAAAACTAATATCATAGTGAAATTTGAAGTGATTCCCTAGTATTTGCTTTTATTCAATTGGTTAAAAGTGCCTTGCAGCTGTTGTATTGGAGAATAAAAGTCTGATGTAGGTCAGCAGTGCATGTTACCTTCTTGAGAGCGCTGACACCCACTGAGTGCCTCTCTAGGCCCATGTACAGTCGGCCCAACTTCAGATACATGGAGGACACATTCAAAGAGTAGGGGGGATACAACTTGCTGCATTGGAAAGAGAGCGTACATGCTGATTAGACTTAAATCATTGCTTTTAAAGAGCAAAGATGATGACATTAACATTTACAAAATGTTTTTCAAAGGTAATATTCTTTCAGAAATGGATGGACTTGCACGCGACAGATTAAAAAGACGTCAAATTGAACAAACAGGCAAAGACATCCTGACTTTTAGTTCCCACAATGCAATCTACAAGCATCTGTTGCTTAGTCACCTGTAGTGTTTGATGATCTTCTCGCCGTATCGGAGAGCTCCGTATGGGTCTTGCAGGTAGAGACAAACCCCCATGGCCTGGTACATCACGTGGAGCATGTAGACGTTAGCGTCATCAAAGACGGCTCCCATCTCCTCCAGGCTCTGTTCACATATCTCCAGCAACTCACTAGGGGGTGCCACAGAGTCAAGGACTGTCAAAACAAGCTGAGGTTTTACTGAAACATCGAAGGGCCTCTGATCCTATAATCAGATGTTTTAGGGTCTTGGCAGAAGAATAATGTCCGCTTAAGAACGCTTCACAAGCACTAAACCTACCAGCAGGTCACCTTGAATTAAATTAAAAGTACAGATCTTGTGTTGTACAACACAAGAGATGGTGTTACTTAGTGAGAGGATATTCTTTATGTGTTTGAGAGCCCGGAACTCTCTGGTGGTTTTCCTGGCGTACCGCACCATGTTGCTGATGACGTCTGGCTCTATGGGGTCACTCCGCTTACGTACTTTCAACTTTTCCTTGTCCTAGAGGTGAAGACAAGGACACGGAGCACGACAGTCAACCAAACTATGAAGTTTTGTTTCTAAATGTTACACGTGAATTATAATTGCAGTTCTATGATGTTCTCTTTTTCCACTCAGCACTTCTTACCTTGGACTTGGTTTTACAGTCCTGGCAGTCACAGGTGAAGTAATAGGACTCTCTCAGCCTGTTGTTGCGGTCGTCAACTGGATAGAGGAGGTCTATGTAGCTGATGAGCACCTAGAGGTGGAAACAACACAAGAATCCTAAATACTGGTAAAGAACACTGTCATTACTTGACTTATTTTTTTTTTTAATGTCTCAATTTGCTGCCAGATAGATTTTAAACTGCAGGTTAGAAGATCAGTCTGAAAATAACCCCACTGGCCTCTTGAATCAGCTGCCTCCCCCCAGAAAACACACACACACACACACACACACACACACACACACTTCTTCGACAGCGTTGCCTTGTCACACTGACGAGTAAACTGTCATTGCCCGCGTACTTTACACCAGCAGTGATGCTCATGCCAAAGCCTTCACACTCCTGTCTTCGCCTTTCAATCTCCGTCTCCTAGCCTTTTCCATTTTAAGATGCTATCTCATCCATAATATGTTTTACTCCAAAGCCACCTGTGTTGAAAAAAAGACTATAACCACAAACCCATCAAGCTTGTTTGAAGATCTAACGGAATAATTTGAGAAATATGATTATTTGCTTTTTTGTTGAGTAAAAGGAGACGATTGATATCACTCATGTCTGTACGGTTAATACAAAGCTAACTACAGCAGGCTTTTAGATTTTCTTAACACAAAGACTGGAAACAGGGAACAGCTAACCTGACTCTGTCCAAAGGAACCGTAACAACCTGATCCCCACGGTGTTTTGGTTGTTTTGCAACCTTATGTCGATGACAAGACTCCAGGAAGTTACTGTGCCCTGCAAATAACCCCAAAATGTTGTTAAAACAAGTGACACATAATGTGATTTTTTTTTTTTTTCTTCACATTTGCTAGCTGAAGCTCCCTGTTTCTAGTCTCTATGCTAAGCTAAGTTAATCGTGGAGAGTGGTATCTTTCTAATTCTTCTATCATGAAAGCGAAAAGGCACATTGCCAAAATGTTGAATTATTCCTTTAAACTCAAGGAGGCAAAAAACAATCAGAAAACAACGCCTGACTTACACGTTATTCAAATTTGATCAATCCATGTATATTACTGTAAGATTACAAGGAAGTATCGTATCATTTTAACATAACACACATACTGTTCTCTACTAGTTTAAATGTAATTTTGTGATTCTTCTTTGTTTCTATTCATTGCGCACTGAACCACCACATTTGAATTGAATGGAGCTCACAGACGGACACGTTTCACACACACTCGTAAAAACAGCTCCCTCGTCAACACACACACTTGAAAAAAAACAAAAAACTGAACCCAACCCTCTCTAATGGCAGCTGTCCCCTTTCCTCACTTCATCTCCAGGCTTCATGTTCTTCACCGCCCGAACCTCCGCCGACGTCCCGTTAAATGTGACTATGACGCTGGGAAGACAGCTGTGGTTTATCAGTGCCACACTGTGAAGAGACAGACAGAAAGAAACAGATGAGACTAACAAGCAAGCTCTCTACTTTCTTACAATTGAAGAAGAAGAAGCAGAGAGAAAAGTGCCAACTTATCTACAGCAGTCACGAAGGTCCCTTAAATATGTTAGTGACCTTCCTATTATCTGGGTGGCAGGGTGGAAATAACTTAAAAATGAGCTAAGAGGGCAAATTCACCCTCACACAGCATTTTTTTTTTTACTTATCAGCCACAGCAGGGAGACGATTTTACCACCACATGAATGGAATAACATGGCTGTCCCTCTCCAGTATGTTTTTTTTCAAGAACAATGACTGAAGTCCAAATTAAATGAACCAATGTCCCAAAATATAATGAGGGAACTAACACATGTCCAAAGAAGCCACTGAGAGAAAAACACGGAGACATTGAGAAACACAAAATAAGCTGTGTCGGGAGGGCAGAATGCCCTGTGTGATATGTACTGTGACAGTACAGAATGAAAATGTGCTCATAGGCATGTGAGTTTTCCTTCTTACTCTGGGTAGAGTGCAGTACCCATGTGGGACAGTTCATCGTCCTCTACAGTGAAACCATTACAGGCAACCTGTTGAATAAATGGCACAGGAAAGAGAAAGAAAATGCAAGTGCATATTACCAATCTTTTGCAGTTTTTTTCATCAAAATATATCATTTGTCTTTTTCCTTCCTTTACTCCAGTGGTTGATGGGGGAAGTCACGGACAAGCAAATTGTTAATATCACTGAATCCATGCTAAGGCCAGAAAAAAAGCATTTACATGCGTGTGCGTGTGGTACCTGGGAGAAGAGTGTGAGAAGGTCTTTATGGTCGGGAAGCTCCAAATGTTTGGAGAAAAAACGATGCAGTCCGGCAACATCTGCCTCGTTCATCTCTCTTCTCTCATTATCTACGTCTTCCACGTCTGTCACAGGAGGAGGGATAGATATTTTGATTGATCAAATGTGTATTTTTTTTAACTTGTATTTACCAAGCATAGTATGCATAATTTCCTTTATTATATGAAATACTAGTTTGGGTAATTTGTAGGAAATCTTATCTGCACAAAACAATTGACCAGACTAGAGTCCTGCTGCTTTTCAAAGCTACCTTTGAGCAAAACCTGCACAGTTTGTCTTCAAATGTTTATGATTTACCATCTCTCACAACCAATCTCTTTGCATTGTGACTGGATATTACGCATTACGATGTGAACCTGTTTCATATCTGGTTTTGAAGTGATATGAGCAACATCCAATCGGAGATTCGGGTGTGTTATAGTTGCATCTAAAATAGCCTTGAGCCTCTAGCCTCAAGCAGAGATGAAGAGCGGTCTAAAGAGGTGTACATGTATTATTCTTTAACATCAGGGAATATTGATTCATGATTTTGAACTGAACCTCGACTATAAGTTCTCTTTAGATGACTAACTTGATCAAACGCCATTTCCCTTGCATTACAGCCACTCTGTGTGTTAGCCTAAAGTGCTCCTTCCCATTCAAGTTGTTACACTCGTTGCATTGTCTGATGGCCCATTCGACCCACACCTATAGGAATATATGTATAGATGAGGCCCTGGGGGGTTCGCTCAGTCTAATCTCAATGGGTTGTGCTTTTTTTAAGAGGGGATATCTAGTGACCCTCAGGACTGAAGTACAAACTCAGACTCTCTGGACACTTTATGCTGAATCTGACACTTTCCAGGAGAGCTTATAAGGGTTTTTCCCCAAAGAGCATTTAAAGACAAAAATCATGCATTTGTGTTAAAGGACGATTACTCACGTGATTGTATTTCCTCAATCAGCAAGATCTTCTCAGAAACACATCTTTCTTTCTGCATTTTCTGTACAAAAGAGGCATAATTAACAGAAAAATGACCTCAATGAACCACAGTACATGCCAGAAAAAAAACGCAAAAATTTGTCTTTTATTAACTGTACAACCTTCTTGGCGAGGATCCGGGCCACCAGGCGAGATATCTCTGATGGGCACCACTTCTCTTTGAATGCATTCATGGCAGAGCACTCCAGCTTGTGCATGGCCCAGTCCCCTCTCTACACACAAACACACCAGCACACAACCCGGTAGTTTAAAGCCCATTCAATTGTGAACATCTAAAGGTAGAGCAAACAATTTTGATTTTTTATTATCTTCTCCATTCTCTGATTTACTTTATCATCACTCATGGTTGTGACATGCTCCTTATACACCAGAAAACTAACTAAAAAGATGAATGAAAAAGGGGTAGAACTTGTAAAACTTCTTTACCACTGATGGGGCTAAAAGGTTAGGTTTTGCTTGAGGGTGGCATCAGATAAAGGACATGTTGTCTGTTGAGATATTTCACTCCTGATAAAATGTCCACAAGCCAATAACATCATTCCTTGAGTGACTCTGCTAGTTTTTCAACATACAGTAGCTGTTGCAAAGGCAATACACAAATAGTTTGGAGCTCTGAGCTGCAAAACAAGGTCCAATATCTTTCACATTACATTACAGAGTCTTTCTGTCCCTCCCCCAACTGTGTCCTACCTGGCATTTCACACTGCAGTAGGAGGCTTTCCTGCACTTCCCACATCTCGCCAACTTCTCTTTCCTATGTATGAAACAAAACACAGGGTTTATTAGTTCATGGACAGTAAACAGCATGTGATTAGAAAGAAAGCTACTGAAAGATCCTCACACTTCCTTGTATAATTTACTTTAGACATCATAGCTCAGAGTATGTCAACCTGCATACAAAGATCGATCTGCAGATATCAGACTTCAATGCTGTGAACGTATATCTGTATATACTTGTACTTGAGTATCTAGCTGCTTGAGTTTGTACGTGTGTAAATACCCTGCTCCATTACTCTGAAACAAGAAGCAGCAGTTGCTGCTGGCCAGTCGGAACTGCTGCAACGAGGCGCTTTAAAACATTCTGTGGTATTAATAGAGCTGACCTTATGACTGACCAGCTGTCTCTCTCCACCACATTGGAAAGTAAAGAAAAAGCCCACCCATTTCATTTTGAGACTGTCGGTAGGGGGGCGGGCCAAGTCCAACAAGCTGCTTAGTGGTTGGTGGACACAATTGGCTGGGAGCACACTACCTGATGTAAAGTGCAGGTGCAACCCAGAATTGCAGTCTACTCTACACGCAGTATCAATTGAAGTGAGCTGTATCAAAACCTAATTGATTCCCTAACAATGTGTTGTATGTGACTGTATCTGCAGAGGTCTTCCAGGCTCGCGGCTTTTCATCTGATAGTGACAATAGAAAAATTGTCATTTTACAGAATCCAAACTGAGCACATAATTAGACTTCAGCAACTTTTCAGTTTTAAGTCCGATCATGAAAGCAACAGCATGGATTCAGAGAGGACAAATTATAGTAGCTTCAATGTAAATCATCCGCAATGAACCTTACGGAATATTCCCAAATCAAAAGACTGATTTCATACCTTTACATACTGAATACTGATATATTGATTTATCAACAGTTGAAGTTTGTTTCTCAACAATTAGATTGTATCTGAAAACAGATTTCATGGAGTGTAATTTGTATGACAAAGAGCATATGGTGCTCTCTCTCTGTGTGTGTGTGTGTGTGTGTGTGTGTGTGTGTGTGTTTGCTGGTCAATAAGGTCAAAACAGAGGATATGGCTCTAGTTCAATAGATTAGCGTCACGTGATGCCAGGTATCACCAACAGGGGTTGTGAGACAGGCAAACGAAACTCTTTATGAACTATCAAGTAACGCTCAGAAAGAAAGGGAGATAGGTTGTCACATGCAGCACTTACCGTGTGAAGCAGAACTCACAGTACAGGCCTCTCTCCTTTACTGACAGCACACAAGAATACGCCGGGCTGGAGAACAGCAGCTCTCCCACTCTAAAGGGTCTGGTCACGCGGAGACCTCGTCCTTTACCCGGACTGTCAAACCTCTCGAGTCCCGCGATGCTGCCCATCACAGCGCCTTCTTCGCTCGTCTTCCTCCGCAGTGACTCTTCACTCACAAGGACCCGGGAGTTGTCACGTTAAGGTGGATACCCTCTGATGCGAAGTGTGCCCCTGTCTGCAGGAGCGCGCACATGCATCAGTGTTGGTAGAACTACACTTGGATTTCGCCGAAGTAGGATGAATGAAAGATTGCAACTTGCCCAGTGGTTCCTTGTTTTAGTATTGTTGTTTAATTAACGAGGTTTTACAAAGTAATATATGACTTATTTATCAAAAATACTGCGTTTCTTCTTGAAATACTAGCCTATTGTGATTTTTTTTTTAATGGCACACTATAATATGCCTATTTTTCTTTACAAAGTTAGGACAGCCAATAAGTCAAGCCTGATGTTTCCTTACACATAAAAACATGAGCCCAGTCACTTCCATCCAGGAATAAGGCTTGTTAATGAAACACTGGGACCGGATTGCTACTCTGTCTCAGCCAGTATCCAAAGCCCAAGTATTAGTATCCATGACAGAATTAATATCTGATGGACTGACTGAAAAAAATTGGATCGGTGTATTTCATAATTTCTTTTTTGACATAACTTTTTTTTTTTTTACTTTTTTCGACAGACTATATAATATGTAATATGACTTTATCAACTTACTACACAATTTATTTTTATCATGTTTTTCCAACGTAATAGAATAGTATGTGTCTGACATATGTGACCACCACTCCAATACACATTGGGCCTGTGTCCTGGTTCCTCTTTGTCTTGCAGGATCTGTTTTGTCGGATGGTGAGCCACACATTGGCCCGGTGTGGTTCCGGCTATGTTAGATCACCGCCTTATCAAAGATAAATTAGTTGCTGCCAGATACATTTTTCAATACATACTTTAGTACGACTTTTTTGTCATGACACATTTTTGTGCAAATGTGTAAATATTTTTTGTAAATGCAGTGAATTAAATACTAGCCAAATCATTTTGAATCAAGTATCATATACTGTAGGCCGATATGCTCATCACTGTCATTGTGAATGTGGGCACTAGTTTCAGATTTAACAAATGGTATGACGTCTATGTCCTGTCTCTGCTCTATAAGACATAAAATGCCCCCAAACTACCTGAAAAACTGTTCATAAAAGCCTCCATATTGTGGTGTTATGCATTACAACAACAACAAGGCATTACAAGTACAACCATACAAAACCATACAAAACAAACATTAAGGGTCAGATAAGGCCACCTGGTGGTGAAGGCCAAGAAATACCTTTGCAGTTAATGCCTACTCTATTACCATTATCTGTGTTGTGACAGCTGTGTGTTTGTAGATCAGCTCACTGAATAAAAGTTAAGTGTAACTGTAACAACACTGGCCTTGATTACATTATGCATTATATGTGGTACTTTGTTCATCATGGTGAGATCTGGTCAGATTAATAGAAAGAGCCCTCAAGTTCCTATAGCTGGTGTCCACGTTTGTCATATTGTGCCATCATGTGGGTGTTGATTGCAAGTGCACCCTCCAATGAATGAGAAGCCCATCCATGATGCATCACAGTCCACCACTCACTTTAGACACAGACAGATTATCCGACAACATTAAGTGACTTCTAGTGGGACGACCTGCTCTCCTGATTTACACAGAGGTAGAGAGGGAGAGCTCAGGTCAGGAGCGTGATCTTGAGTAATTTGAAATATTAAATATAAGCAACTATGCAAACATGTTACATGCGTGTCTGCGCTCTCTCTCTCTCTCTCTCTCTCTCTCTCTCTCTCTCTCTCTCTCTCTCTCTCTCTCTCTCTCTCTCTCTCACACTCACACACACACACACACACACACACACACACACACACACAAAAACCACAGTGAAGATTTGTCCATCATCTGTGTCTGAAGGCTTTATCCACCTTGCCCCAGTTTCCCCCAATTCATTATGATTTCATTTTTTCCAGTCTTTCAATCTAAAGATTTGTTCCTCCTCATTTTTTAATAACGTGCAAGCAAGGGAGTCATGTCCCTGGGAGATTATGTCGTCGTCTTTGGCGTCTCGTCTTGATTACATCAGAGAAACCTGATTTGATTTGGAAGAAACCCCCATGTTCCAGTACGCGATCTGTTAGACCTCCCCACTGTGCTGATTTCTTGCTTTGTCAGAGGGGATGATCTTGATGAATATGATCTGAAAAAGAGGGAGGGAGTGGGGGATTAGGTGAAAGGATTATTATTTCCAATGATGAGAAATAATAAGAAACAATAAATCCTAAGTAGATTTAGTTCTCAAGGAAACCCTGTTAGGGAAAATAAACGGAATAAGAGACAGAACAGAAAACATACAGGACAGAGGTATTAAATGGATACAGTCGGCCTGACCTGTTTGGTCTGAGAGACCAGAACTCAAATGAATGAATCCGTGACATTTGTAGTGGTTCAGAAAAGTTGTTTTAAACACGGTTATTACAAACTTCATATCCAAGTCATTTGACACTCAAAGTTATGTTGTTCCAAAGTTTGACCTTATTTACAGACAGCAGTAGCACTGCAAAGATTAGTCGATTAATTGATTAATCTTTTTGACCAGTGCATTAAATATTTAAGCTATCTTTCAAGCAAACCCGCTTCTGTAGCAGCAGCTTTTCCAAAGTGAGGATTAGCTGTGTTCCACCATTGTATATCATAATAAAGGGACTATGTTTGGATTTTATTTGAAGACATTCCTTCAGGCTATGGTAAACTGTGATTAGCATTTTTTATTTTAATTTTAATAAACCAAGCCAACAACAAATAAAAACAATGCAGATCACTCATCAAAATATTTGCTAGTTGCAGTCTTAGAAGAGGGAATTGTGAATACCATTTTCCACTATTTTTATAGACCAAATTATTATTTTATTATTCGAGAAAATAATTAACAGATTAATCAAAAATATTTTAGTAGCAGCCAGAAACAGGTAGGAAGGAAGGTTTCTCTGTGAAAATGAATTACTAATCAATCATTTGCAAATTCAATTCCATGTGTGAAACGTTGATGAAATGGTGTTTCCCTACCGTCCTACCGGAGTGTGATAGGAATGGGCCCCAGGTCCAAAACGTCAGTCCTTGTATCAAAAGCTCAAAGCAATGAAGAACAGGTCTTTAATTCAGTAAATGATGCTGGAAATCAAAGCAGACGAGGACCATCGTAAACAACAGGGGGCATCATACTTTACAGACTGGGCCATTCAATTACAGACAATAGAGTGTGGTCTTTCTGAGCTTTGTACAGATCAAGGTAGGCAGACTGGTTTATTGTTAAGTAAATCAGTGAAAACATGTAATGGTTTACAGTACCAGTATTATTCTCTGTATATGTATATATTATCAATAGGATATCCAAGGGAAGATAAACTGTGTTAAAAGGCTTATTGCAAATCTACACTTTTACTGTCTCATAATTTATCTGCACATTGTCAGAGCTCTCTTCCCCCTGCACCTCTTCAAGGATCAAACAACATAAACACCCTTACAATACACTGTAGGTATAACTTATGGCATACTGTTGATGGATGTACGTTGTCACATTGGGAACCTCATAAAACAGCAGCTGCTAATGCCTCAATTGCCACGAGGTCAGGGACGCGGGCGGTGTGTGAAATGCAGAGCGGTTAAAAGACCCTGTGCTACTTTCGGTCTTGCAGTAGTGGTGAACCAGGCCTTCTCACCTCATACCAATGACCTTGTCATCACAGGTCATTCCCAGGCTGCTGTGCTAACTAGGAGTCATCAGCAGGGCACGACTTGAGAGATGGACGGTGCTGTGTGTTTGCGTACAGTGGAGAGAGTGGGGACAGAGTAATTGATCATCCTGGGCTGTGTTTTGAGAGAGGGGGTGCATGCCAAGACCCTATGTAATTGTGCCTTTATTCTCCTGAGCCGAGCCCAAGCAATATACAATAAATCTACATTCTTTCTGATGAACTCACTGACTGTCACAATGTCTGCAATCCCGCCTCGTCCCTTGTCAGTCAGTGAGGGAGCCAAGCCTTAAGCCTTAACCCCCCTGTCTCCACTCCTGGCTGGGGGGTGTGACGCCTGCCTGCCCGCCTGCTCGGCCGTCTTAGCCCGGTGGGCTTTGCAAGCGCGGAGCCTCATCTCCCACTGTTTATCCATGTGTCTTTGCTTTGGCGCAGGCCCTATGCTGCAGACCACTGTGGGCTGAGTGGGGTCCACTGCCCTGTGTCACCCACCTAAGCTCTGCTTTCACTGTAGGGCTTAGCGCCTCACCCCTCGGCCGCTTTATGAGCAGACAGCTGAGCTAATCTGTCTCCCTCTTTCTTTCTCCTTGGGTCTTGCCTCATCTCTTTTTTTTTTTTGGCTCCTTTGGTCGTCTGTTTGTATCCTAGTTTGCTCTCATGCCGTCCAAACACTGACACTGCTGTTTCTGTTTCCACAGTACACAAACACACTATTTCTCCATTTTTGTGTCTCTATGCATTTTTTACTGACTCAATAGGAAATTCAGAAAGATCATAATAGTAGGGGAAATTACTTTGACTCTCTAAAAGAGTAATAAGTCACGGTGAACATTTCTGCTGAAGCAAAGTTTTGTATGTGAGGTATGTTGTGTGTAATGTATGTAACACACTATGCACCTGATGGGCTGACACCCTTGGTACACCTGAACTGATCTCAGAGCGAGCTTCTATGAGATTTGTCCAATATGTTGTAATCTGAATTCAGGGTCTTATAATACCTTGAACTAAACAGAATATATGCTTAATTTACATAAGGTGCAACATTATTCAAGCAAAGATGGTCACAATTACTTTAGCTTCTTAAATGTGAGCATTTGAGGGTTATCTTTGTCATATGTGATAGTAAACTGAAAATCTTGGTTTGGGACAAAAAAAAGATTAGTCAAATAATTGTTGCGACCTTAAAAAGGACGAGGTCAGTGTTTCAGGTGTTCCACTGTGCCAGCTGCTTGTTCACTTTGTTTGTGTAGCATAAGAGACTAAAGCTTAAGAGTTTTGCTTATATTAGTCAAAAGAGCAATACTGCCATTGTTCTTTGGTCATTTCAAAGAAACAGTAAAGCAATAATAATTGTATCCTGTCATGACTGCATTCTTTATTTTTACCAATATGATTTGCTTTTACTGGGATAT